AGGGGAAGCGGGTGAGTGCGTGATGGGGGTGGGAGTTGTGAGGGTTGCTTGGTCTGTTCGGTTATGTGTCTTGAGTGGATGGGTATTCTGGTGGCTGCCAATAGAAATGGTGTGTTCGGTGATGACTGAATGGGATGGGTTGGAGATCCAAAGACCTTTGTTTATATAGGTGAGACGTGGCAGTGGGATTGAGTGAAGCTGGAAATGAGGATGAAGATGGAAAGTCAAAAGCGGAGATGTGAGGTTGACGTTGGGTGGAAGAGTCGGAGTGGGATTCGGGAAGCGGGTTGATGGAGCTGTGCTGGGCATGTGTTCCCACACTCAAACGCCTGTGCAGTCTTGGCGGGGTGTGTGCGTGCACACACACACACACACCGCATTTAACAAATCTGGCCATTTGACATCGCTTTATACGATTTAACTCAATTGTTTAATAATGAAATCTACCCAAAACTGGTGTAAAAAGTCGATATTTTGATGCTCTAAACCGTATAATTATTTATTTTGATATTTATATTATCTTTTAAACCGTTATTAATATAGTGTACTATCCCAGTACCCGCTAGAAGGTATTAATAATAATAATACTAGTAAATAATAAGCATTCTAATAATATCGCTAAGACTATTAGTATAAGTATAAGGAGTATGTAGAAGTATAAATGTATTTTAGCAGATATTAGTAAGGTGTTTCTACCGTCGCGAGCCCCTCAAAATATTAGAAAGTTTCCTATATAAGTACTTAAAGTATAGTATATACTATATTACTCTCTATATTTTATTAATTATAATTAATAACATAAAGGAAGTTATAAACTCCCTTGTATTAAAACCTAATTTATACTTTAATAAAATTTATACCTTTTTAGTTAACGAATATAACGTATACGTTTCGACCGAAACTATATAGTAGTACCTTCGATAGGAGAAGTAGAAGAAGAAGCGACTTTATATAAAGGTATTATAATAATCCCCTATACTAGTAGTTAAATAAATATTCAAGATTTTTCTATTTATTATAAAAATATTTATATTCTATAACGAATCTAGTACGGATCGAAGAGATAGCGTTTATTATATTAACTAGGCACCCTATAGCGCTACTATAATAGTATTAAACAAATTTATTCATAGTACGTAGTATTATTTCCTCCTAATTATTATAATAGATGGATTATTCAATATATTAGTATTTAGAAGTAAAATAGACTTAGCCGGGGTCTAAAACTAGATAGTAAAATACTTACTCCCTAAATAAATCTATTTTCCAGTTGTAATAATATTTTGGTAATAAATAATGCTAATTAATACCCCCGTACTAAACTCTAGTACGTATATAATTAGAAGGGGGTTCTATTATAGTATTTACTACTATACTCTCCCGAATTTAACTTTATTAAAATATATTTTAGCCATTTGAAACGGTAATTTAAGAGAGTATATTGTAACGAGGGTAGTAATAAGATATTAAATAACAAATTTATTACGTTCCTTAAACAATTAATATAGGACTTAGGGTATAGAATATAATAGATCTATAATTATTTTAAGAATATAAAGTTAATAATAGATCGATTTAATAATATTAATAAAGAGTATAGGGAGTTGTATACTAATGAGCTAATCGAATATAGAGAGACGAGTACTATATTTGGACGGCGGTAGAGGGTATAGAAGGGAGAGATAGATTTATATATATTAAATTGAATTATATATTAGAAATACTAAAAATATTAAACATACTAGATGTACTAAAAGTACTGGAAATTGTATTTATTTATATAACAATACTAAAATACTAGAAACCCCCCTCTTTTACTATAAATCGATTCGTAATATCGTTATCGCTCGCTAGAACTACTAGTAATATTGCTTACTATAGAAGCGAGAATTCTAGCAATATTATATTCGAATATAATATTAAACCGGGGTTTAAAATATATATTAATTAATTAAATTATAGTAATAGGAATTAGAAGGTATATTTACTATAGTTTAATTGTATTACTAATACTACGTGTTTAATTTTAAGAAAGTCTTTAATACTGTCCTTAAATACTATATAAAGGTCGTAGTTGAACCCCAGCCTCGTAAATTATTCTACCGGCTATTCTTTAAATATAAATATATTGGGAGGCGCCTCTTTATCTTGGAATTTATTCTTCAAAACGATTAAAACTCTATATGCTAATACTATTTTAATTAATATTCTAATATAATAATACCTATAGAACGCTTTAAAAAATTCGGTAATAATCTTTTTAACTGGCCGATTAAGCGGAGCGGGGGGTAGTAGTAACGAACGAAAATTGAAAATTAAGGGTATAAACGGACGTAGTATAAATAACTCTCTAACTTCTACTGGGGATTTTCTAATTTCTTTACCCTTATCCTCCTCGCCTACTATTAATAGCAATATAATTAATAGTAGTATTCGTAGCCAAGTAAAGACTATAATCGCTATAGAAATATAAAGAGGGTTAGTATTAGCGTGCCTAGTAATAAGAGTCTTATAATCGGTTAGGTACCTATAAAATATAGTAATAAAATAATTTAAGGATGTATACAAATTAATAGTTACTACTTTACCCAATAGAAGGAGAGTACTTACTATATTATAATTATAATTATCTATAATTATTAAGTTAATAATAGAACTATTAGCGGTATAAGGAGGAGGTAATTAGATTTAGAGAAATTAAAAGTAAGGAGGGAAATATTAGTAAGGTAGCGGGTATAGTAAGTATAAGGGAGGAGGGTATAGCTAATATAAACTTCTAAAATTATCCTTCCTTAACGTAATTTATAATAAACTATTTATAGTCTCTATATTAGTACTACTATTACTATTATTAATATTATTAATAATATTGATATCAATTAATAGATTATTACTTCCTCCCTTACATTTACTACTATTATTAATACTAAAGGCGGCTACTACCTTATTACTTAATATCTCTTGTACTAAATTACTAAGCGGGTTAATTACTATAGCCTTCTCTAGCGAGATCGCGTATATTTACTTACTTATATTCTTAATATTAAAGTTATAATAGGTTATACTCCCGTTAATAATATAGTATATTTAATACTTAATAGCCTTATTGTAATTTTTATACTTATAATTAAGACTGTACGCCTATACCTATACCAGCTCCTAATATATAGTACCGCATAGCTTTACCCCCGTACGCTCCTCTTACTATTAGTCTTCTTCTAAATTCTTCTTGACTTCTACTAGTATAGTATTTGTTGTAACGCGTTTAGACTTCTTAGTACCAGCTAGAGTCTATAATCTTTGTAATAATAGTATATCGGCTATTTATAAAGTAATAAAGGGATTAATTAAACTACGAGAAGGGGTAGGAATAGAAAGTATATTACTATAGGAGGATAGGGTAGTAGGGATTTTACTAGCAGGTAGGTCAATTAACCGAAATTTAAATAATATAGTAAAATAATAGTTCTAACTAATATAATAGAAGTACGACTTTATAATAGTCTTATACTCAAAATTACTATACCCATTAAAGAATTTCTTCCTAAAAATAATCTTATTATAAATAATAACCCGGGCGCAATAATTATTATAAGTAGCAGTAGTATAATTAATATTATATAAAGAGACTAACTATTTAATCCCTACAGCTATATTATTATTAATAATCTTTTATACGTAATTTTACTATAGTTATTTAATTTCGCTAAGTAGGGTCGTCTTAAACTACTACTCGTAGAATTTACTATTATTTTATTTAACTTCTATCTCTCTAAATATATTATAGTCTTTAATAGGGGGTAATTTATTATAATTAGCAGTAATATACGAATTAACTATGTTAAATCAAACTATTATTAATTTAAGGTATTTAGGAAGCGGCGGCGGTAATACTAGAGCAACCGGCTTATAGGTAGCGCGGGGCTGGACTAGTAGCGCTAAAGCAATTAATTTAATTAGGGAAGCTATATTAATATTATTATTTTCCAAAAGATAAAATAAAGTATCGAAAGCTGTCACGGGGCTGGCACCCAGAGGTATTTGCCTGGCTGGCACCCGTGTAAGCCAGGCATACCTTCTAGTTAGGTGCACTGGCTAGACGGCTGTCGGCAGCCGTCTTGGCGCCGGATGCACTGCGTGCCATTGGGTGCATCCCTCGGGAGCCGCACGGGCCACATTTCTGGCCTTGGCATTTCTGGCACCTTCAATGCCCACCGCATTTTGTGTATTTAGCTGGAAGCTCTGTGCTAGTAGGGTACAGACTTCCCTCTTCCTCTTTGTCGATTATTTCAAGCTCTTTTCAAGGCCTACCTGCGTGTATACCTCGTAGATCCCTTACAAAAGCCCGCTTCTTAAGGGTAAAGCGGACGGAGAATTATTATTCGACCTTATTATTATTACTAGAATCCTCTTCACTACTAAAAATTTTAATAGGTATTACGGGCTTAGGGGGGGATAATGGCAGCTCTAGTATTAAATCCCTAGCAGTAGGGGCCTTCCTCTTCTTCTTAATAGTAGCCTTCTTAAGAATAATTTTAATAAGATCAACCTTCTTCTTAGAAGGGATAGTTTTAAAGATAGCTTTAATAAATTACTCGGCTTTATAATTCTTCTTTCTAAAGTGGGAGGAGGTATATTATAGAATTATTAAATTAGAATCTTCCTTATTTTAATCTTCGTTGAAGTAGACTACTAGCGCGCCGCTTTGAATACGGGAGCGCTTTACGCCGGCGGGTTTTAAATTAAGAATTATCTTAAGAGGTATTATCGCAATGGATTTAATTAATTACTAGTATTTTGATTATTTTGCATATTGAAATAGCTTTAAAATGATTTAGAAATTGTCATCAAATAATGAATTTTGACGAAGTTGAACAATATAGAAGTGCGGTGTGTGTGTGTGTGTGTGCACGTACGCACCTCTTGCCAAGACTGCACAGGCGATTGAGTGTGGGAATGGCATGTGGGGCGCATGAGTAAGTAGCCCCTTCCCGTCCCGTCACCAGAACAGGGAAGTTCCATTGTTACGTAGTTAGTTACATATGTCTACACCGTACGCTTCAATTTGTGCCCTTGCTCGTGATATTGGAGTTCAACATCAACAGTCTTATAAAAATACCATTGTACCCTAGTTGCATAGATAGTGTGGACGCGTTGAGACCTTGGACTGGTGAGGTAAGACCATCAAACGAGCGACGGTACCATTTCACCAAACCAACGCACTTCTTTCTTGTTTATCCAGCAATGTACATATGACATACAGATGACCATGGAATCATCGAGGCCCATGCTCCATTGGATGCACGTTATAGTGTTTCTTTCACATGTCATCACTCTTAACTCACAAGTTTATGCTATGCGAGCAATCTCTTGTCCGTGTTGTGGATAACAACCCAACCGTACTTCATCTCCTCAGTCATTGAATGAAACCAATCCAACCTCCCTTCCATGCTCATCCAGATCCACCACAACCGGCATATCGTCATCATCGTCATCATCCTCGCCTATCTCATCCCGCTGTTTGGTTTCCTCAACCTTCGCATTTTTGGACCCCAGGTCCCATCCGCGGGTAAACAGCCATGACTCGAGTTCGCCGAAAATAGCCCTCGCTGTCGACTGCTCCATGGTCACCGCATCGCCCAGCCCATTCAATACCTCCTCAAGCTTCCTGGCGTACTTAGCCAGTGCAGTTCTCAACCTTCGCCGATTTTGGAGATTGAACTGGTAAATGGGTCTGTCCGGGCACGGCCCGATGGTATGCTCACTGCGGCCCTTCTCTTGTTCTTCCTCCGAGGTAGACTCGACATTTTCCTCCGTATAGATAATCTGCGCATGCAGCGTCCTAATGAGTTCAATAGTGAGGACCGGGTAAAAGAGAACCAGGCGGTACGCGCGCACGATGATCTTGAGCACAAGATCCCACCACTGCTCCATGCAAGCGTGGTTGCCCAGATGAGTGCCTGTCAAGAACGTGAACTGAAGCTCGGCGATGATCTCACACGGGTCAAAATTGGAGTCGGTGCTCCGAAGAAGAGCCAGAACTCGATCCGTGGTGTCCTCGACCACGTCTCGTCTAGTCGGGTCAGAGTCGAGAAGCTCTAAATCCTTAAAGTCTTGGGCAAAGAGGAAGTTGAACTCGCTGGACTGCACCGACTTGTATTGGGCTCGGTATGATTCTCCAGCAGCACAGTCGGCGGAGTCGACGAGCCAGGCGTCGACTGACTTGATGCCAGTGATTCGAGTTAGGAATGGCTCGGATATGGCGTGGGTTAGCTGCTGCCACATCTTGGCTGGGTCTGTGATGAATGATGGCTCGTTCCGGCCAGCGATGGAGAACGGCATGGGCTGCGAGGCTCTGGCAGACCTCCTCTTGGAACCACCGCGCATGTCGTACGGCTTTAGCTTAGGGTATATGGACTCGAGCCTTTCGGCCTGGTGTCGTTCCTCGGCCTGGTTTGGCAGGCTGGAGAGGACCTCGTTGTACTGATCCCATTGCTTCACGCGCACTCGGCTGTTATGCTCCTGGGTGACATACCAATACCCGTTTCGGGATGTGGCACCGGGTTGCTGAACCCACAGAAAATGAGTGCCTGCAGGTATGTCACGAAAACCGAGAAGGCTTTCGCTGGTGGTTATGGCCATGTCGTCATGGCCGACGATAAAGTCTTTGGGGAGAGATAGTAGTAAAAAGACATCTCCGTGGCCAATGCTGCTGCTTGACTGCGCCAGCGGTGGCATGTCATGGTCCCCTTCATCATCTCTGGCGGTAAAGCTCATATTGGTGGATGGGAATGGCGTGAGATACAAGTCGCTGGAAGTCTGGACTTGTTGGGGGTGAGTCCGATATTGAAGTAACAGTTTCGGCAAGTTCGACGATTGGCTGATATTATGACGGAGTGGGGCGCTATTACTGCCTGCCGACTCCGGGATCCCCGGCCAGAAGTGTGTTTGTGTTTTACAGCTTCCAAATGCTTCAACAACTGGACGACAAGGCGACCCAAGGGGAGCCACAGAGACTGAATGTCAACGATGTCATTTCATACGAAGATATCATGACGAAAACTTCGTTTCCAGTTGGTGGCCTTGCCATCTCGCTGCTGATCGTCTCCATTTGAGTCACACAAACACGCCTTAGTGTAGCCGACTCGCCGGAAACGAGAATCAGGACTACTAAGCCCCTCACTTTGAGGCGATAAGGAGTCTCGAAAATGACTTGGGGACATGCCTGATCTGCGGCACTTGCACGCGAGACACCTATGCTGTCCACCCCGGCTCGTCCCCGACAAAATCGTTGAGACCTTTGACATTATACCTTGGGAATACTTCTACTACGCATCTAAGTGTCTCCATTACTCCTTTGAACTTGATGTTTGCGCAATTCCTGGACAGAAATGTGTCAAAGGGACTCTAGCTAATGCGTTTCTGAATCACTATATCTCCTATCACAATTTTGCAACCACCTTTCTTAATTGCAACGAACGGTATCCGATTGGTTGAACTTGACTAAGCAATTTATCACCCGCTAAGCAAAGGTCTCATTAAATTCGTCACGGACGAGCCCGGGTATGATGCTCCAAAACATGGTTGTTAGAAAGGTCCCTTCAGGACTCCGGTCAATTTTGGTCGTCCTATTGTGAGGTTGTCTATGCGGCGATATGATCCAGCCCGGCACGCGACAGCCTAATGCTTGGAAAGAGTTTGCGGGTGAGTGGGGGACACTAAAAACAGTGCCACTGGACCGGGGCACCAGTAAAAACAGGCGGAATGGCGTAGGGCTTAGTGTCCTAGGGCTGATATTCAAACACATCAACCGCGAGGTTAGCGCCATCATGGTCTCCACCTCCTGTGATTTTGTTGATTACAACTTTCGCAAGTGCGAAACCTTTGTTTCAAGAAGTACTTCGACTTGAACTGATATCACACTCTAAACTCACCACAGGGAGAAAGTTGCTTACTGCGTAGTCCCACCCATTTCCCATGCGTGGTTGAGGTTGTCTGCTACTGACTTTTCTTCCCAACTTCAGACCAGCCGTGCTGACTTGGCCTTCCAACATCTTTCTGATCCCAAAGCACGAATGTGCAGATCGCCTGTGATGACATTCAGTTTCATGTACTGGATGGTGTAGGCGTATGTCCTAGTGTTTACCACACAATCTGTATGTATGACCTTCCGACTCGACCTGAATATTCGATATACTTACGGTGTACAGGTACGACCAGAGACACTGCGCTGTAACCCGAGCCGACCCTGCTACCTTTCGCATGACCAGTCTGTTGTCATGGGTTCCCTGGAGGATGCAAGCCTGGCCGTGTAGCCATGGTCAGCCACGCGAGCCTTCTGTTCCATTGCGCCGGGAGAGATCGGCTGCTCCGGCCGTGTTGCTGCCTGTCGAGGGTGAATACCCTGTGGCTGTTCGGAGAACCTCCCGATATGTGGTGTTACTGTGACCCCAGCGAGGAGCAAAGGTGTACGTACAAGGGTAACTGGACGGGATCTTTTGTAAGGTGATGGCATCATATGCCTAACCAGTAAGTCATTCCCATTGAACCCTATTTCACTCAATTGCCTCGCAAAAGTATTTTTGATGGTTGCCAAGGTTCCTCCGGGAATTTTTGAGTGCATAGTCCAAGCTTAACTGAGGCTACTGAAAGGTTTGTCACGAGTCAGTTTGTGCCTAGGAGCAGGTCTGGAGCTGGACAGCTGCTAGGTAGTTGTAACCATATCTTTGCTGATGAATAGTTCATACATAGTCCATCTGCTTCTCATGATCACGTTTTATTATCTTTCCGGGCATGTTCATATCTTCTGGACACTCCATACAGCCATCCCAGCCTCTGAATGCGAACTCCTTCCATCCACTTGGGGACCAGAAAACCAAGGCTAATCGAGCATGTATACCATTTATTAGCCGTATCAGCGTTGCGCAAACTCCCAAACCAAAATTACAGATCCTATTTTCTCCAATCAGAAACATTTTTATTGAACTACGGAGTGACCATACCGATATGGCGAGCTGCGTTTTCCGCTTTAGCCAGCGAATTACAACGAGATCAGATGCTTCGAAATTTTGAAGTCAACGTAACACAGTGGCTCGTATCTCGGGGCTATTTCCTCATGCTGTACTCTTCCGTCTGCGGACGAATTCGTCCCCTGTCTAACTGAGGTATGTTGGGGCACACCTTTAATCAATGCGTGCTCGTGTCCACGTTCTCGTTGAGTTCATCCTCGGATGTCGGTATCTTCCTGAAATCTTGTGAGTTCACCTGGGTCGATGGAGGTTGGCAATATACACTTGTCGGGCGATGAGCTCCGAAGGAAGCAGTGGCCCCTGTAGACTTACCTCTAGCGCCGCCATCACGCTAGGTTCAACGAACTTATGATTCAAAGAGAAAAGAGAAGGAACGATGGGACACACAGTGTAATGTGGTCACACAAGACCAGAACACTTCAGGGTCTGGGTAAGTATTTTATTTAGACGTACACTAAATCTTACTATCTTGGTTTCATTCATACAGACGGGAGCTAAGTGGCGATCGATATGGAGCTAATTTCTTATCAGACGCTAATTTGAATCAACTGAAGATCGCATGGAAATTTCAATGTGACTGCATGAGGCGTAGCAGTACCATTGAGTTTTTAGAAGGTAGAGGTACTCTATCAACGGAAGCACGATCGTTACATGACACATGGATACGTGTCGAGATGGAGACCTTCAGTGGCCTTGGGATCCTTTATCTCCGGCAACTTCGATGCTAGGAAATCTGTGGAAGAGTCATTCCTTTCTTCAAGACACAAATTATGGCGAATTTATAGATTTTCCTTCTAAGCTTGTTGTTCGAAGCCCGGGTATCCGGTCGTGGCCGAAGAGGTTCTCCAAACAGTTAGTAGATGTACCTATGTAACACCAACATGCAAGCCAAGCAACGCCGACGGGATTGTGAAACCCCATGCGGATGCTGGATGCTCTAACAGCCGCCGTTGGCCAGGTACTTTACCTACCTTACCATCCGTCACACACTTTCTCTTGAGACCTTGCCTTTCCCAGGGATTCATTCTTTCTTTCATTGTTGCTCACCCTGCAACAACTGGACGGTCGGTCGGACGCGTGGCGGCAGAAAGGCGGGCAGGCAGTCCAGCGCTACCTAACTGCTGCTGTTGCTTTCTGCTAGGATGCTCTCGGATACATGCCCGCTCACGCTTCAGTTATTTTTTGCTCCAAGGCAAGTCCACGGGGACTCGAGCAGACAGACGGAAAACACTTGGCTGGCTGGCTGGCTGGGGGCTGGCCTGAACGGGTATAACTGTAAGGTAAGTAACTATGTAGTGCATCCCGCTTAGTTGGTTGACGCTAGGCAGGACTAATGTACTATGTAAGGTCGGGTAAGTAGGCGAGAGGTACGGTAGGTAGGGATGCGGTACGTAGCTGTGAGGTAGCTATGAAGTCAACCTTACACAACGCATCACCGACCCCTTCGTACCCACGACGGCCGGGGCATGCACCTACCAACTGCACGCTACTGTAAGAGCGGCAAGCAGCGGACGGAAGAGGCAAGGAAGCAATTCATGGCAAGGTAGGTCTTTTATACAGAGAGTTGTATTTGATAGGAATTAGGAACGGCAACTAAACTCGCCTTGGTAATCAAGATATAACTTGAACGATACTAGCGTGTTCCAATCTCTTTTAACTTTAGCTCCCGCTTTGCCCGGCCGCCGTCGCCGCTCGCTCGCTCGCTGGTGCTGGGCTTGGGACTCCTTGGGATTGGACTGGACACGGACTTGACCCTTTCCACTTCGCTTCTGTGCCATCATCCCACCCTCTACCACGTGTTGACTAACCTTACTAGTGTACCGCTGCTATGGTACGCTATTCTTGCCGTGGTTTAGTTCCCGTGCTTAGGGGCTGTCTACGTATCACAAAGAGGACCGTTGACGGACTTGGATCCCTGACGACGTAGATCTTGGTGTCGTATAAAGCCAGATATTGGCGTCCACAGAATCTTGTCGGTTGATGTTTGGTGACTCCAGGAGCATGTATCTCTTATCTTCCCAACTGCACTCCCCCTTTGGCGTTCACGCGGCCTGCTAACCGGTGGCCATCTGGACCACCTGCGAGACACCGGGGTCCAGTATTCGTAGCGATGTTGTCTTGCATTCCACCCAAGCCGATGGATGGTCACAGGAGTAGGAAAGGGAGGTTCGGAACTGTGGTGGTGGTACAAGGCGACGGCGGGGTTTGCTTGTAGGAGCACACGTCCACTCACTCACTAGTAAGTATGGTACTCACTGGATTCAGTCTCAGCCTGACCTGAACCAAGATATTCCGCGTCTTATCTAGAAACAAGAAAACAGACTTGGATACCTACTTTGACTAGCCCCCTTGTATGCACGTCATACAGACGGCAATGTTCTCAACCATTCTTCCGCTGAGCCTCAAGAGCCTCACCTCATAAGGCCCATCGCCCTTGTATAAAGACGGAGAAGCTGCATCATCAAGCAATGGCACCAAGCAAAGACAGAGAGGAGCAAGCTTGGAAGTTTCAACAACTTTCTCTTCACGGCGCACTTCTTCCAGTGCTTTTTGTCCCAGTTCAGGGACTGACAACGTACAGGTAGGTATCTTCGCCTTTCATTTTTGACCGCTCCACCTCCCGCTCCCCATGCACCTTCTAACATGCAACCCAAATGAAACCCCGAAAGCCGATATAATGAAAAGGTATAGTACCGGAAGAATGCATAGGAAAAGGTTCTTGTTACACCAGCCCATAAACAAATATTACACCAGTCATTCGAGCATGGCTCGAGTTGCCTCATCCATCGTAACACCCTCTTTCTCTTACATCCAAACAGTGACAAAATGCAGCACACCAATATCGTAACAGCGTACAGAATAGTTCTGGATATTTTCCTCAACGCCTTAAAACCTCAACGCCTCCGGAGGACCAGTATCGATTCGTGTCGTTCACAAACACTCTCTCTTTCCGATGTGGGCTCTTAATCACCACGAGAAGAATACACTACTAAGCCTGCCCATTGGCATCTGGGTATGATTAGTATATGCTTTGTCGGGAAGAAAGTGACCTTTGATTACTTACGTTGAGCTGTGCTATAACCGTTGGGGTGATAGGGGGAACCAGAGCCGGGAGGGTAGTTCTGGTATGCCGGGCCGTTGTATTCTGGTAGGGGGTACTGCGACACTGGCGTGTTGGAACCAATTGGTGGAAGTTGGACGGCGCCTCTCGCGGCATAGGAGTTGTTGTCGGTACTCTGTGTTGATTGGGAGGTGGAAGCAGCGCGTGCTCGTTCCTCGGCGGCCTTGCGTTGCGCCTCCTCCTCCTTTTTGCGCGCCTTCCACTCCTTGCGAATCTCCTTGAACTCTAGAAAGCGAAACCCAACGTTAGCGAACAGCCCTTCGCGATAAAGGCGCAAAGGCCATGATAGAAGTAAAAATGCCATGCGAACCTTCAGGAGTCCGTTTCGTTCCATGCGACTGCATGGTGACGTGCGCATTCAGATGGTTGAGTGTACCATAAGCCTTCTCGCAGCCATTCCATCCACACTTGTACATGCGCTCGATTTCCTCGAAGCGCCGACGTGGTCGCTTGTGCTGCGTGGAACCGGGGATAGGAACAAACGAATAAACCTGCTTAACATGTTGATTAGACTCAATTGGTCATTAACACGAATCTCTTCAGGTTCGTACCTGATTCTGCCTAGTTTGAGCGGGAGCCGGGGAATGTGTAGGGGGGAAGACGGCATGGCCCTGCATGGGACCGTTTTGCTGATACGTCGCCCAGTCGGGACGGGGTTGGGCGTAGAGCCCTGCGCTGGGACCGCTGTGCTGGTATGGGCTGGTGACGTCGGGAGGAGGAGGCGCGTAGGATGAATAGGCCGGATGAGGGTAGGCGTGTCCAGGACCCGACATGCTGTTGGACGAAGGGACGCCATTGCTGGGGTGGCTCTGGGAGGAGCGATATCCCATCATCGTGTCTGGGAAACTGGTACTTCCACGGTGACCCGAGTAGCCGTATTCAGAGGCGGGGGTTCCAGACGGGGCCGGGTAGGGTTGGCCGGGGGCAGGGGCGGCTGGGTAGACGGGAGGGCGTCCTTCCTGCTGTGTTGTGTAAGGCACGGGGCCAGGTGCTTGCTCTGTGACAGATGAAGCTTTAGTAAGACTGGGCGACTGTCGTGTTGCTAGGACTAGCCAAGGTAAGAACAAACCTGAGTGAGAGTACTCGGGGGGAGTACGGTCCGTGTTATTCGTCGTGCTGTTGGTATGGTGTGACATGTTGGGATAGACTTGGCTCGGGATGGAGGTTCCCACGTCTCAAACTTATAACAAACGCCGGACAGCTATAGCGCGAGACTAACGATACGGGGCAAGGACGGCTAAGAAGAGGCGGACAACTAGGCCGGACCACACCACCAAAGAGAAGCCGGACACTAGCAAGGGTCCTGTGGAATAAGCAGTCTGGGCCGAGTCGAAAAAAAGAGACGGCGGGCGATCTCTGAGATGCAGGTCGTGGGTATATCTCACTGGACCAAAGTGAGAGGCGGCGGATTGTTGCGTAACTGGAAAGGGTCGCAGACGTTGTCTGTCGGTTTGGCCTGACTATAACTAACGGAAGCCGTTCCTGACGCGATGTATGACG